CTTGGCTTCCTCCATCATTGGGGCAACCAAGCCTCCTGGAGCAAGCAGGCCACCATATTGGTTGGGTTAATTTGCATATAGTGGCTTTGATTGGCTGGTGGGTGTGGCTTAAGGCATAGCAAAGGTATAGTCAATTTGCATGTTTGTCTTTTATTAGTGTAGATTTGTAATGCCTAAGGGAGTAAGTTCAAACTCTTTGCCCTATGTTAAATGTACATAGGTAATTTATTCATATTGGAGTTTAATATAAATAAATTATCTATGTACATTAAAAAATAACTGACACTTATCAGAATTATTTTAACTCTAAATTGCAGAACTGCTCCATTTTATATGTAATATTTAATTTTTCATGGAATTTGTAATACTTAATGTTACTTCATATAAAATTGACTTTTTAAAAATAAGTTTGTAATATGTCCTTATCTTCCTGTTAGAATTATCAGAACACTGGTCCCTATCCCAACTGTTCATCAGAGTCTCAAGGCAAAGTTTCTCTAACTCTATTATGTTATGAATCAAATAGGGACCTTATTAAAATTCAGATTCTGATTGAATAGGTCTGGGTGGGACTTCACACTCTAACTTTCTAACAATTGCCCCAATGGCGTTTGTGTGCCTGCTTCAAAGATTACATTTTGGAAGGTCACTTTTAAACAATGTGCAGCACAGATTTAATGCAGAGCATGGTATAGTCACAATCATATGCAACTTTAATCAAGGGTATTGATGCAATATGTCTTTCAATAGTCTTGCCAATTCTATGAAGTGGGTACATATTATAATAACTGTTTGTCCATGAGAAAATTGAAGTTTAAAAAAGATTAGAAGCACTTCAAGGTCATGAAACTGGTAGTTGTCCCAACCAGGATACAATCACCAGGGTTCCCATCCTAAAAGCCCACCTCTAACCACACCAACACAGAACTTTTCTTTTAGAAACATTTAGAGGAATAAATGCACTTTAGGAAAGCTACACCTAGCTATACTGCTCAAACCAGTCTGCCTTTGGTTTGATGGCTTTATTTTATTTATTCTTGTTTTAATTCAGTGAAATTTCTAGAAAACAAAAAATGTAACTGGATGTGGCTTACCTCTGTCATCTGTCCTGTGATTATTACTTTCCTTCATATGGATATGGATATGGATATGGATATGCTGGTGGATACTGTGGATATGGGTAATACCCTCCCTGAAAAGATAAAATTGCAGAGAATTGAGACAATGACTCTAAATATTTCAGAATAATTTGCATTAGAAACTTAATTTGTTAAAGTTGTTAGGAACACATAGATCACCTAGATGTTTGATTTTTCAAAATTTTAGTTAGGTTTACACTTTTTTTATAAGAAAAATGTTTAAGAGAAAAATAGAAAAACATTTACAGTTATACTGTTTGTTGACAATTTTATCCTATCTAATAAAAGAGAAACATGGTAATTGGCGTACGACCTCTACCCTTCCCATTGGCTAATCAGGGCGATATGCAAATTAACTGCCAGCCAAGATGGCGACCGGCAGCCAGGCAGCTTGAAACTAACATGAGGCTTGCTTGCTTCAGTGACGGAGGACTCCAACGTT